ATATATTATCAACTTCTTTTCACTGGACAAGCCAGTGCTCTCGTCCAAGACAAAGGAAACTCCCAGGCTGGAAACAAGTTCTTTAACAGTTTCGTCTTGGATTTGCTCCGATATGAGTTCTATAAATTCAGAAGTGACAGTGTCTTCTCTGTACAGCTTTGAAGTTAGCCACTGTATGTTCTTTTCCAGTAGCATGGTCTGACAGGGCAATCTTCCTGAAGTTCTGCGACCCCTTCCTAAAGTTACCACTTCTGTCCGTGTTTCTGGCATATCTAGAAAAATAAAAAGTATAAATTAGAACTCATTAATATTTATGATATAATAATATAACATCGATAGACGAGGTAACACAACCTTTTCTTTCATATGGCATAACAGATTAACTAAAGTAATATGAAAGAATCAGGTGGTCTTTAACTGCTTTTGAGTAGTGTATTATGCTCAATATGGACACAAAGAATTTATTGCACTTGTTGATATCCAAGGTCTAAACGCAATCTTTAGTACAATAAGACAGATCATGCTGCAGTTGCACATGCAACTTGAGAGACATCAATCTTAAATCTTTACAGGCAAACAATTAGAGAAAAACCTGGAGGCTCTGAGGGACGAGGGGCGATGGGGTAGCGTAGTAGTTAAAAGCATTTGCTCGTCACGTCGAACACCCAGGTTCCATTCCCCACATGCTTAAAATGTGTGAAGCCCATTTCTGGCATCCCCCGCCGTGATATTGCAGGAGTATTGCTAAAGGTGGCATAAAACCATACTCACTCACTCTGTCCTGAGTAAATTAATTTTGTAAGGCCGAGCCTTGGCGAGGGACAAATAATCCAGAAATTTGAGTGGTGAGTAGGCTGTTCTGTGTATTATTCATAGTCGTTTTTTCTGAGAAAATGTATATAGTCTGATGTCATGAACAATAGATGATGTCATCTTGAATTATATGTCTTATATGACGTTGCTTTGTGACTCTTGGCAAACATTTCATTGAAAACAATGGAACAGCCTTCAGCATGAAGCAAATATACCAATAAAAACATTCTGTTTCCTTGGAATATGTGTACCTTGATATGTTGTAAAATAAAGTGACTCTATACAGCACTCAATTGTTTTTCTTATTGAAAATCAATAGGTGAGTTAAACTTAAGGTTACTTACAAATTCTGATGAGGTTGGGATTCCAAATGTATGAATCCAGTCAGATAGGTTGACTAGCTGACCCAACTGCCATGCATTGAGACTGTGTGTCAGGTAATCCCCTGGGCAATTTGCAGTTGTTGAATACTTTTCTTGTTAAGTGTTATAATTTTTCTTCAAAATGAAAAATGTCATATTCGTTATAGGAAGGTGACTTAAATGTCGCTTTCAGCATAAATGAGTCTGATCATCAGTACAATTTTGGTTAAATAGACTTCCTGCCCTGCTTTCTGATAACAAGGTGGATCAGTTGTCATAGAATACTATTATGTCACCCAGAGTGTCATGACTTCCTAGAATTCCAGAGTGACTTCATATGTCTAAGAGGCGACTAACGGGATTGGGTGGTCAGGCTCTCTGAATTGGTTGATGCATGTCATCGATCCCAATTGCGCGGTTCGATGCTCACGATATTAATCACTGGATTGTCTGGTCCAGACTCGATTATTTACAGACTGCCGTCATATAGCTGGAATATTGCTGAGTGCGGCGTTAAACAACAAAGCAACCAATCATATGTCTCACAGATGCTTGAGAACATGTAGAGTGCTACAAAAATTGCCAATAACTTTTCATATGTACATTGACAAGTCATAACGCAGACATTTTAAACATTTGACACCTGCTTATGACGAGCCACAAATACCCAATAACACCTGCAAATCTGAAAACATATTGTTTATTCCCCCTACAGTCGGCAGTGTTTTGAAGGTGTTCCTGTTCTACACAGACTCCAGTGTTGGATGGGATCTGCAACAGTAGCTGTTGTGTAGGCCGATGTTGTCTTAACCTAGCACTACAATATCACCGCATAATATGCACCATCTGCCAACAAGATACACCCTATTATTTCTTACCCTAACTAAATATTGATGTACCCCCAGGCTCATAGTGGGCGGGAAGGGCAAAAAAACAAGCTAGCATTAATACAACCAATACTTGCATACTGACGTCATTTATTACAGAGTGAAAATATTGTTTCCATTTTACTTAAATTTTAAGAATTGATTGAATCCATGTGAATATGAGGAAGTTTTCTATTATAAATATCTATAAATATCTATTTGTAATTGTTAACAAAGTATTGAGATCAATACTATGATACACATGAAATTTCGTTTTTTTTTCTTTTGGGTTTGAACATGTTTGTTTTGAGTATGTATTCAGTCACTGCCACTTCTGGTGAAGACAGAGTTGTTTCCCTTTGGTTGTATTGGGAAGGAAAATAAATTGGTAGACCTGATTGCTGCTGATAATATTTTCCATTTAGCATGCCATAATATTGATGGCGATGAATGGACTTGCATGGATTAATGATAGGAACACATAATCATCTGCTATTTCTAGATGTAATAGGTTTTTATCCCATAAAGCAGCTTCATGTTAATATGCTGTACATCAGAGGATTGTGTTTGAATAATGGGACATTAAAGGTGGCAGATACAAAAATAGCAAGAACAATTAATGATGGCTCTGTGGATATATGCAGGATGCAAGGAGCTGATGGACCTTAGGGGTGGATTAATTTTAGAATAATTACCTTTGTTTTGACATATTTGCTCAATTTTGAAAGGAATGAAATATAGCTTGCTTTTAGTAGAACCCATATGTTAAAACCAATTAACTAACAGCTAAACAGACTGGTGTTTTTTGTAACATAAATAGATTTCAGCAGAAAATCATTCCGTTTTTTCAGTAGTCTCACACTAAGGACTAGTGAACAAGTGGCCTTGTCTAGCCTTGAAAATGCAAATGAACTTGGAATCTTTTTATCTGAGCTCTCATAATTGAATGCAGTTTTGAGGTACTGGCTATATTATCAACATAATTGTAAAACAACTGATTTTGATACTGACATCAGCAGCAGACTTTAAATTTAATAATAATAAGCATGCAGTAAGCAGGGGTTGGTGGAGAGATAATATAAGTTTGTGAATAGATGTAAGTCAGCAGATTCCTTCCCCTTGAAATTATTATAGCATCATATGGAGTGAATGTGCCTGTCTGCCATATTAAGTATCTGCCTGCATGGGGTGATGAGGTCTGTAGGTAGTATCAAACCAGTGCATGATAGTGTGAACATCAATCCAAATAGCTGGTTAGAAAGTCACACTCACTCCCAGAGGGTCATTCTAGATAACTGTCCAATTCTGTATCCGCAACCGATCTGGCCTTCTAGCATCTGGGTTCTCCTGCACAAAGCAATTTTGATGGCACATGTAAGCATTATAAGCATTATCATTATCAGTTTTACCATGTTGTGTGTTCTGTTTCAGACCAACGTGTCTGTATCACCATGTTCTGTTTCAGACCAAAGTGTCAGTATATCTATATTCTGTTTCAGACCCAAGTGTCTGTATCACCATGTTCTGTTTCAGACCAACATGTCTGTATCACCATGTTCTGTTTCAGACCAAAGTGTCAGTATATCTATATTCTGTTTCAGACCCAAGTGTCTGTATCACCATGTTCTGTTTCAGACCAACATGTCTGTATCACCATGTTCTGTTTCAGACCAAAGTGTCAGTATTTCTATATTCTGTTTCAGACCAAAGTGTCTGTATCACCATGTTCTGTTTCAGACCAAAGTGTCTGTATCACCATGTTCTGTTTCAGACCAAAGTGTCTGTATCACCATGTTCTGTTTCAGACCAAAGTGTCAGTATTTCTATATTCTGTTTCAGACCAACATGTCTGTATCACCATGTTCTGTTTCAGACAAGCGTGTCAGTATCACCATGTTCTGTTTCAGACCAAAGTGTCTGTATCACCATGTTCTGTTTCAGACCAGCGTGTCTGTATCACCATGTTCTGTTTCAGACCAAAGTGTCAGTATCACCATGTTCTGTTTCAGACCAGCGTGTCTGTATCACCATGTTCTGTTTCAGACCAAAGTGTCTGTATCACCATGTTCTGTTTCAGACCAGCGTGTCTGTATCACCATGTTCTGTTTCAGACCAGCGTGTCTGTATCACCATGTTCTGTTTCAGACCAGCGTGTCTGTATCACCATGGTCTGTTTCAGACCAAAGTGTCAGTATCACCATGTTCTGTTTCAGACCAGCTATCTGTATCACCATGGTCTGTTTCAGACCAAAGTGTCAGTATCACCATGTTCTGTTTCAGACCAAAGTGTCAGTATTTCTATATTCTGTTTCAGACCAAAGTGTCTGTATCACCATGTTCTGTTTCAGACCAAAGTGTCAGTATCACCATGTTCTGTTTCAGACCAGCGTGTCTGTATCACCATGTTCTGTTTCAGACCAAACTGTCTGTATCACCATGTTCTGTTTCAGACCAGCGTGTCTGTATCACCATGTTCTGTTTCAGACCAAAGTGTCTGTATCACCATGTTCTGTTTTAGACCAAAGTGTCTGTATCACCATGTTCTGTTTCAGACCAGCGTGTCTGTATCACCATGTTATGTTTTAGAACAAAGTGTCTGTATCACCATGTTCTGTTTCAGACCAAAGTGTCAGTATCATCATGTTCTGTTTCAGACCAAAGTGTCTGTATCACCATGTTCTGTTTCAGACCAAAGTGTCAGTATCACCATGGTCTGTTTCAGACCAAAGTGTCAGTATCACCATGTTCTGTTTCAGATCAAAGTGTCTGTATCACTATGTTCTGTTTCAGATCAAAGTGTCTGTATCACCATGTTCTGTTTCAGACCAAAGTGTCAATATCACCATGTTCTGTTTCAGACCAAGGCGTCAGTATCACCATGTTCCATTTCACACCTAATTGTCAGTATTTCTATGTTCTGTTTCACACAAAGTGTCAGTAGTGCCATCTTCTGTTTCAGACCAAGATGGGGCAGAACCCAGTCCAAACTCGGTGTCTTCAATGAACCTGTTACGCCTGTCCCACTTTCTACATCGTCCAGAATGGCAGGAACAATCAGAGAAGATTTTCCGTGTGTTCAGTGAGAGACTCACCCAGGTCCCCATTGCAGTCCCGGAGATGGCGTCTGCTCTCCTGTTCCATCTGTCCACACCAAAACAGGTATGGAGCAACACTCATGTAATTCTCAGCCCTCTTATCTGTTTGGGTTGAACCCTCTAGTCTTGATGGTGGTGGTGGTGGTGGTGGTTAACCTAGTGGTTGAAGCATGGCTTGTCATGCCAGGTTGAATTCCCCATATGGGAAGGATGTGTGAAAATCATTCTTATTATTCCTGCATGATATGGCAAGCTGAAAGTGGCTGTAGTATTGTACTCACTTTATACCTAGTTTCTGAAAAATGTTGTACCAAGTTTTGTTTACAATTGGTTACTTTTACTGTTTACTTGTATGTTTTGGGGCAAATACAAAAATATATTAGATTTTGATTTTCATTGGAGCCTCGATAAGTTTGTTATGGCTGACACGATAAATTAGTATGTTTTTATGTTTTGGTATAATAGTATAAGATTTGTTTAGATTCAGAACAAGACCCTTCTGGTTTGTCATTTGGAGCCAACAGAGGACACACACATGAATATTTTCAGATTAAAAATTTCACACATGGCTCAATTATAAATGGACTATTATCGACTACTTAAAAGTCTTGCAAGCTCCTACCTCTCATGTAAACCCAGTTTCTGGTCTCTGGTGTGCATGTATCTGGCTTCTCCCCACACTGGGACTCGTACTTTCGGGGCATGTTACCAAAAGGAATGTTTATTTCCTCTTTGTGTATCAAAGAAGAGGCAAGTTGTGATGCATGGCAGGGGATCTTCCACAGATATGTCCGAGCTTCCGCACACAGTGGAGTCAGCACGCCTTGCAGGTTACAACAATACCTGTACATCGCTCCTCTCACATACTGCCATTGTAGTTTTGGCTCTATCTCATCAAATAACCTTGATAGTTTTCTCTTCACTTTTAAAGTTTGCAAGTTTCTGTGTAAACGGTATATCATATTATGATGAAGTGAGGAGCTGGGTTTCTCTAATATTCAGTGATTGTCATGCAGAGGGCCTGTTGTATCAGGTCAAACTTCCCCGCTGGTCAGACTTTCCCCAGGCTAATCCTCCACTCGAGAAAGTTTGGCACAGTCCAGACATTCCCCCAGGGTTGGTTTAGTCTAGGTCAAACTTGCCCCAAGTTTTTTCCGCCTTGAATCACAGAGTGTGTGGGTGGTAATTTTCTGGCCAAGCTATTTCTTCCCAAACCCCATGTTCTAATGAAACATAAAGATTTCAGCCAGGGGTATATCTACACCAACTCCTTGTTCCTATGAAATGGGAAGATTTAAGCAAGGGGTATATCTTCTCCAACCCCTTGTTCTGATGAAATGGGAAGATTTCAGCAAGGGGTATATCTTCTCCAACCCCTTGTTCTGATGAAATGGGAAGATTTCAGCCAGGGGTATATCTTCTCCAACCCCTTGTTCTGATGAAATGGGAAGATTTCAGCAAGGGGTATATCTTCTCCAACCCCTTGTTCCTATGAAATGGGAAGATTTCAGCCAGGGGTATATCTTCTCCAACCCCTTGTTCTGATGAAATGGGAAGATTTCTGCCAGGGGTATATTTACACCAACTCCTTGTTCCTATGAAATGGGAAGATTTCAGCAAGGGGCATATCTTCTCCTACCCCTTGTTCTGATGAAATGGGACGATTTCAGCAAGGGGTATATCTTCTCCAACCCCAGTTCATGTGATTAGCGAGAAAACTATGAATGTTTCTTCAGCGTCCAAAAACCCATAACATGGGGATGTATGTTGTATTAATGTCTTATGTTTGCAATGGAGTTTTGGTTTTTTTCAACAAAAGGTAAGTAAGTACAAGGTAAGTTTTTCAATATGCTTCAACATGGTGAAAGGGTCAGACATTGCACGCTTGTGACAGTTGTCCTTGTGTCTGGGGGATGGGGGTTGAAGTTTATGGCAGTATTGCTCCCAGACCTGGTGGGTAGCCAGGTGCGCGGAAGCTATGCCCAATTTTTTAAAAGTACTGATTTAACTTCGAAATTTTACTGCATCTGCCATCTTGTTTATTTGGCTTATTGACTTTTGCCATTGACTTATTACATTTCTTGGTGTGAACGTGTCCAAACTGCACGAAATTGCTTAAAATGCAATCAAATGTTTAAAAAAATTCTGGGGGAGCATGCCCCCACACCCCCCTAGATTTTTCCTCTTTTTTCGGGAAAACCTGCTCACATCCCTGGAAATGGGAAGATTTCAGGCAGGGGTATATCTTTTCCAACCCCTTGTTCTGATGAATTTGAAAGATGTCAGTCAGGTGTATGTCTTCCCCAAACCCTTGTTCTGATGAAATGGGAAGATTTCAGGCAGGGGCATATCTTCTCTAACCCCTTGTTCTCGTGAAAATGAAAGATGTCAGTCAGGGGTATGTCTTCCCCAACCACTTGTTCCAATGAAATGGGAAGATTTCAGCCAATGCTATATATTCCCCAAGCCCTTGTTATAATGATAAAGGGAAATGTCTCACAGCCAAGCCCCTTTCCCCCATGTGTGTGCTGATGTTGCCGGGATCAAGTTGACCTTGGTGGGATTTGTTTCCAAATCAGTACTCAATACCATTTAATGTGCACATATCTGAAAGCAGATTAGGTGGTGGCTTTGAAGTTTATTTAATTTTTGAAATTTTATCTTTGACATTTCCATGGAAATAAGGCTGAAATTGAAATTGAAGGCTGAGTCTCTTCACGAAACTTATCTCAAAAGCGATCAATAGTTCTTCAGGAAACTTGCACAGAGCTGAAGGGGATATGTCACCTCCTGATGAGTCTTGTTTATGTTGTACAGATTGTCTGACACTGCTTCTAAACCTCAGGGCAAGGAGAAACACCTGAACAAAAATAGCACCAAGGCACTGTTGCTCACCAAATGACCTGAATGTTGAGTGTGTAGGGAAATCTTTAGTCATCAAGTAAGAAACATGTAGCTTGTAACTGCCTGTTTTTAGACTACTTTATGGTAGCAAACATTTGTATTAAGTATCACCACACATTTCGTGAAGCAGTTTCTATAAGGTATTAAATTTTGCCACATTTACATCAGCAACAACAATGGCCAGATTTTGAATATAGATAATGATGTCGAAAAGAACTTTAATATGATTATGATATAAACAACGTCAGTTACTGGGGTACTGTGATGTCATCATATCCCTATTGTGTAGATCGATGCTCATGGTGTCAATAAAGTGATTGTATGGTCCATACTCAATTATTTACAGACTGCCATCATATTGCTGGAACATTGCTGAGTGCAGAGATAAACAACAAACAGTTACTGTGATGTTCTTAAAAATGACATTGTGATTTCTTTTCAATTTCAAGAAACTTTGCTGAATCGTTTTCTGAATGCCATGACTAAACCTGAACCCATTGTAGTGCAAGGTGCCCCTACAGTATTACTTCTCTAAGCCTTTTGGTTTCGGAGAAAATTATATGCTTTATCATTTTCAAAAGTGAAAGGATATTTCTTCAATTTTAATTAAATTAAGTTAATTCAATTTTTCAATTCCATACAATTCTACACATATTCTTGAAGTTGCAGTTTTATGGTCGTAATTTCTGAGAACAATGTTTCAAAAGATTTTCAAATTTGTTCTGATATGTTTTATAAAAAAATGTATTATGTTGTACAGGTGGCCAAGATGTTTAAGTTGCCCCAATCAGCATTGCAGAGTTGCATCCCTTAGGCATAACAGAAACCTATAACTGTGGGTTCAAATCCAGGTTTACTCTGATTATACTTCTAGGTTTGTCTGCAGGATAAGCATGCCCTGGGTTTTACTAAAGTAGTAATGACTTAAGACCAGCATTATTTCCTCTGCCGGGGTCACGGGTGGCCCAGTCGTCTAAGGCCAAAAGGCTAAAAAAATGTATTATGTTGTACAGGTGGCCAAGATGTTTAAGTTGCCCCAATCAGCATTGCAGAGTTGCGTCCCTTGGGCATGCCAGAAACCTATAAATGTGGGTTCAAATCCAGGTTTACTCTGATTATGCTTCTAGGTTTGTCAGCACCATACCCGTGCTCGTGGGTTTCACTGAAGTGGTAAACGTCTGAGACCTGCATCACTTCGGGCTTTCCTCCCACATTAAGCTGACACGCCGTGATATAACTGGAATACTGTTAAAAGCGGCTTTAAACCAAACTCAGTCACTATTTCCTCTGCCATATATCAGAGTGATATAACTGTGATACTGCTCAAAGTGGCATTAAACCCATTCACTCATTGTCATTTGGCTCCAGATCAATATCATAGATTGGTAGGTTTATCTATGATTCATTTCCTTGATGTACAGTCTTCTGTTAACTTAGGCCCAAAGTATGTGTATTTCTTCATTGGTAAACCTTTGTACAATTATATGCACCTGTCTTGTATAATCTTGTTAGATAAAATATAAATATTGTCCAAACTATTGAATTACAGTTTAGATTGAGAAGACATTTCCTAGTTTCGTCAGAAGCATTAGGAAAGACATTTGAACCAATGTAGGTTAATGCTACTCAGCTTTGTTGGAAAAAAAGGAAATAAACATAAAAACACAAACATAAACAGACTGAACCCGAAGACATGTCTTTTTTTAACATCTCTTCAATGTGGTGAAACACAACACAAAGATATTTTTGTATGTTCACTTATATAAGTGAGTCTGGAATTCCTAATTAAATACTAAAGGCAGTTCTGTGATGTTTTTATAACTTATGTATTTTGGCAATCCTTTTTTTTTAATAGGCGTGTTTCTGTGTGAAGTTTATCATTTCCTGTAGCTAATCAGCTTTATTGGCCATGGCTCCTTGTCTTCACTGACTGACTATGTCATAATCGCCACAATATATATTTGCAAATGTTACTGACATATTTATGCACCATATTTTTAAAAACAATTGCATTCAGCTGTACTTGATGTCTTAATTGGTCATTTGTCAGCATCATATCTCACTGAGGTTACTCTCATCATAGGAGCAGTTCTGTTCATCTTCATCAGTGAAGGTCTGTCCGTTCAACATGCTATCATCCTACCACTGTGAGAACATGTG